CCACTCCTTCGTTTCCCGGGCAGTGTGTTTGGGATCATTGTCATGCTGAAAGACCCAGCCACGTTTCATCTTCAATGCCCTTGCTGATGGAAGAAGGTTTTCACTCAAAATCTCACGATACATGGCCCCATTCATTCTTTCCTTTACACGGATCAGTCGTCCTGGTCCCTTTGCAGAAAAAACAGCCCCAAAGCATGATGTTTCCACCCCCATGCTCCACAGTAGGTATGGTGTTCTTTGGATGCAACTCAGCATTCTTTGTCCTCCAAACACGACGAGTTGAGTTTTTACCAAAAAGTTCTATTTTGGTTTCATCTGACCATATGACATTCTCCCAATCCTCTTCTGGATAATCCAAATGCACTCTAGCAAACTTCAGAAGGGCCTGGACATGTACTGGCTTAAGCAGGGGGACACGTCTTGCACTGCAGGATTTGAGTCCCTGGCGGCATAGTGTGTTACTGATGGTAGGCTTTGTTACTTTGGTCCCAGCTCTCTGCAGGACATTCACTAGGTCCCCCCGTGTTGTTCTGGGATTTTTGCTCACCGTTCTTGTGATCATTTTGACCCCACAGGGTGAGATCTTGCGTGGAGCCCCAGATCGAGGGAGATTATCAGTGGTCTTGTATGTCTTCCATTTCCTAATTAATTGCTCCCACAGTTGATTTATTCAAACCAAGCTGCTTACCTATTGCAGATTCAGTCTTCCCAGCCTGGTGCAGGTCTACAATTTTGTTTCTGGTGTCCTTTGACAGTTCTTTGGTCTTGGCCATAGTGGAGTTTGGAGTGTGACTGTTTGAGGTTGTGGACAGGTGTCTTTTATACTGATAACAAGTTCAAACAGGTGCCATTAATACAGGTAACGAGTGGGGGACAGAGGAGCCTCTTAAACAAGAAGTTACAGGTCTGTGAGAGCCAGAAATCTTGCTTGTTTGTAGGTGACCAAATACTTATTTTCCACCATAATTTGCAAATAAATTCATTAAAAATCCTACAATGTGATTTTCTGGATTTTTTTTTCTCAATTTGTCTGTCATAGTTGACGTGTACCTATGATGAAAATTACAGGCCTCTCTCATCTTTTTAAGTGGGAGAACTTGCACAATTGGTGGCTGACTAAATACTTTTTTTCCCCACTGTACATGGTTGTTATATGGAATATATATGGTTGTTATATGGAATATACAGCACCAGTCAAAAGTTTGGACACACCTACTCATCCAGGGTTTTTCTTTATTTTTACTTTTTTCTACACTGTAGAATAATAGTGAAGACATCAAAACTATGAAATAACACATATGGAATCATGTAGTAACCCAAAAAGTTTTAAACAAATCAAAATATATTTTATATTTGAGATTTTTCAAATAGCCACCCTTCTAAGTTTCTTGAAGTGCAGTCGCAAAAACCATCAAGCGCTATGATGAAACTGACTCTCACGAGGACCGCCACAGGAAAGGAAGACCCAGAGTTACCTCTGCTGCAGGGGATACATTCATAAGAGTTAACTGCACCTCAGATTGCAGCCCAAATAAATGCTTCACAGAGTTCAAGTAACAGACACATCTCTACATCAACTGTTCAGAGGACACTGCGTGAATCAGGCCTTCATGGTTGAGTTGCTGCAAAGAAACCACTACTAAAGGACACCAATAAGGAGAAGAGACTTGCTTGGGCCAAGAAACACGAGCAATGGACATTAGACCGGTGGAAATCTGTCCTTTGGTCTGATGAGTCCAAATTTGAGATTTTTGGTTCCAACCGCCGTGTCTTTGTGAGACGCAGAGTAGGTGAACGGATGATCTCCGCATGTGTGGTCCCACCGTAAAGCATGGAGGAGGAGGTGTGATGGTGTGGGGGTGCTTTGCTGGTGACACTGTCTGTGATTTATTTAGAATTCAAGGCACAATTAACCAGCATGGCTACCACAGCATTCTGCAGCGATACGCCATCCCATCTGGTTTGGGCTTAGTGGGACTATCATTTGTTTTTCAATAGGACAATGACCCAACACACCTCCAGGATGTGTAAGAGCTATTTTACCTAGAAGGAGAGTGATGGAGTGCTGCATCAGATGACCTGGCCTCCACAATCACCCAACCTCAACCCAATTGAGATGGTTTGGGATGAGTCGGACCGCAGAATGAAGGAAAAGCAGCCAACAAGTGCTCAGCATATGTGGGAACTCCTTCAAGACTGTTGGAAAAGCATTCCAGGTGAAGCTGGTTGAGAGAATGCCAAGAGTGTGCAAAGCTGTCATCGAGGCAAAGGGTGGATACTTTGAAGAATCTCCAATATAAAATATATCTTGATTTGTTTAACACTTTTTTGGTTACTACATAATTCGATATGTGTTATTTCATAGTTTTGATGTCTTCACTATTATTCTACAATGTAGACAATAGTAAAAATAAAGACAAACCCTTGAATGAGTAGGTGTGTCCAAACTTTTGACTGGTACTGTATATGGTTGGTAGATAAAGTCTATATGTTATGTTACTCCAGGGTCCGTGTGACTCTCTGGGTCTGAGTGTAGCTGGTGGGGTTGGTTCTCCTCATGGAGACGTACCTCTCTTCATTGCTACTATGGACCCTATTGGACTGGCTGCCAGGACACACCAAATCTATGTAAGTCTCTCTCTGTGCGTGTGTGTGTGTGTGTGTGTGTGTGTGCGTGTGCATGCTTACAAAATGAAATAAATCAACGATTTAATCAACTGATCTGTGTGTGAACATGTCCTACCATTCTGTCTGCCTGTATTCGCCTCTCTCTCTCTCTCTCTCTCTCTCCTCTCTCTCTCTCTCTCTCTCTCTCTCTCTCTCTCTCTCCTCTCTCTCTCTCTCTCTCCCTCTCCCTCTCTTTCCCTCCATCTCTCAGGTAGGAGACTTTATGGTGAGTATTAACGATGTCTCCACTGAGGGGATGAGCCACATCCAAGCTGGAGCTCTGCTGAAGACCATCAGTGGTACCATCACCCTACAGGTGACACACACCATCACACACACACACACACACACACACACACACACACACACACACACACACACACACACACACACACACACACACACAAAACACCATCACAGGTGACAAATCCTAGAACGATAACAATCTGCACTTGTGCCCTTGAGCAAGGCACTTAACTCTGAAACTGCTCACCGGGCACTGCACTGTGTCTGTCCGCTGCTCCAGTCTCTCTCCAAACGAATGTCTATATGTGTGTATCAGAGGGGATGGGTACAGCAGAAGACACTGTTTCATATGGATGAATAAAGTCTTGTTGTTCTTCAGGTGCTGACTACAGGGTCGGTGGCTGAGGGCTGTGGAGGAGGACAGGGCCAGGGAGATGTAGGTATCCCCTCCACAGGACCAGCTACCCTACACAACAACATGAGGTAGGAGTCTGCTGCTATCGCATGTTATAAACATGTTATAAACATGTTATAAAGAGGGAGCAGGTAGAGCAGGAAGAGGGAGAGGGGGTAGAGGAGTCTGAGGACAGGGCCAGGGAGAGGGAGAGGGGGGAGGAGGTGTAGAGGAGTCTGAGGACAGGGCAGGGAGAGGGAGAGGGAGAGGAGATATAGGAGTCTGAGGACAGGGCCAGGGAGAGGGAGAGGGAGAGGAGATATAGGAGTCTGAGGACAGGGCCAGGGAGAGGGAGAGGAGAGGGAGAGGGGTGAGGAGTGCTGAAGGCGAGGGAGGGAGAGGGGAGAGGGAGAGGAGTCTGAGGCGAGGGAGAGAGGGGAGGAGGGGAAGGAGAAAGTGAGTCTGAGGACAGGGGGAAGGGAGAGGGAGGGAGAGGAGGTGAGTAGGGAGAGGGGGTTAGATGTGGGGGTAGAGGAGTCTGAGGACAGGGCCAGGAGAGGGAGAGGAGAGGGGGAGAGGGAGATAGAGGAGTCTGAGGACAGGCCAGGGAGAGGGAGAGAGGGAGGAGGGTAGAGGAGTCTGAGGACAGGGCCAGGAGGAGAGGGAGAGGGAGGAGAGAGGGAGGATGGAGAATAGGGAGAGGAGAGGAGTTGAAGGACAGGCCAGGGAGGAGAGGAGAGGAGGGAGATGGACGTAGAGGAGTCTGAGGAAAGGGCCAGGGAAGGGAGAGAGAGGTGGAGGAGTCTGAGACATGGCCAGGGGAGGGAGAGGAGGTGTAGAGAGTCTGAGGACAGGGCCAGGGAGAGGGAGAGGAGGTGTAGAGGAGTCTGAGGACAGGGCCAGGGAGAGGGAGAGGGGGAGGAGGGTGTAGAGGAGTCTGAGGACAGGGCCAGGGAGAGGGAGGGGGAGAGGTAGAGGAGTCTGAGGACAGGGCCAGGGAGAGGAGAGGGGGAGAGGTAGAGGAGTCTGAGGACAGGGCCAGGGAGAGGGAGAGGGGGAGGAGGTGTAGAGGAGTCTGAGGACAGGTATGAGCCATTGCCACACCCCGCATATCAGATAGAGGACTGCAAATCTTACATGTTGTTATTTTATATCTCCTATAGTCCCCAGTTTTATAGAACCATCCGTCTGGACAGAGGAGCTCTGGGTCTAGGCTTCAGTATAGTTGGAGGATTCAGCAGTCCCCACGGAGACCTGCCCATCTACGTCAAAACTGTCTTTGGAAAGGTAACTGTCTATTTCCTTTAGAAAGGTAACACAAAGACCTCTATCTTTTTCATTTAGAAAGGTAACATGTTATTTTAGTCCTCAATGTGAGTTCAATATACCTGTCATTCTACTGTAAATTCCTTGTGTCTTACGACTATCAAAACTCACTGGACTGTCTTGCAACGCAAGTTGAAACTCAAACTTTGCAACCGTGTTTGATGCCATGGTGATTGATGCAGTGTCTCTCTCTCTCTCTGCATTTCTCTCTCTCTCTCTCCAGGGAGCAGCGATTGAAGATGGCAGGCTGCAGCGTGGGGATCAGATCATCGCTGTGAACGGTCACAGTCTGGAGGGGGTCACTCACGCCGGCGCCGTCGCCATACTGAAGAACACCAAGGGAACTGTAGTCCTCACCGTACTCTCCTGAGTGTAGTCCTCACACAACCGTCTGTCGCCCTTTGATGATGTCATCAGCAGACTACATCAGGGTTGTGTTCATTAGGCACGAAACAGAAGAAAACAGACTAAACAGGGAGGTACTACCTGAACTTTTTCAATAAATATGTGTTCTGTTGCAAAACGTTTTTCTACGGTGTGCACTAATGAATATGACCCTGTTTATCTCTAGAATGAGGTGAAGATTCTCACAGAATAAGGTCTTCTATATGTCATCCTAGATGTAACTGGCTCTCATTGTAGCAAAACTATGAACCCTGTAATGTATTTCTATGTGTCTAAGTACATGTACTTTCCCCTTTAAAAAAGGGGACCTATCAAATGGGGACTAGTCAAAATCAGGATGTCCCCTTTTCCAAAAAGGGAAACCTCATAATAGAAGACAAAATCACATAAATGAGTCCCCTTTAAAAATGGACCCCTTCATAGTAGACTACTAAACATCACTGTATGTCTCCCCCAAAAAGGGCCCTTTACATAGTAGACTACTCCTTTCCGTATGTCCCCTTTAAAAAAGGGAAACCCATCATAGAGAAAATCACACACTGATGTTCCTTCAAAAGGGAACCTCATCTAGTAAAAACTGGGTCACATCCTGTTTGTCCCCTTTCAAAAGGGACCTCATCATGAGAATATTACATCCTGTAGTTTTCCTTTCAAAAGGGCCCCCTCATCATAGTAGACTCTCAAAATCACGGGTTGTCCCCTTTCAAAATGGACCTCATCATAGTAGACTACTCACATCACTGTATGCCCCCTTAAGAATGGCCCCTATATGTAGACTACCAAAATAACGTTTTGTCCCCTAGAATGGCCCTTTTCATAATAGTGGGACTCCCAACATAACTGTATGTTTTCCTTTCCCAAAAATGGCCCTATCTAGTAAAACTAGTCACATCACTGTATTTTCCCCTTTAAAAAAGGAAACCTCATCATAGTGGGAACTACTCAAATCCTGTATTTTCCCTTTTCCCAAAAGGGCCCTAACATATTTGGATACTCACACCCATTTATTTTCTCTTTAAAAATGGACCCCCTCATAGTAGACACTACTTTACTTTTACATTTTAGTAATTTAGAAAAAGCTTTATCCAGGGGCGACTTACAGGTAGTGAGTCAAAATTTTTTTTTTTTTCATAACTGGGTTTATTTTTTGAAAAAAGGGAGAAATTATGAAAAAAGAGAACCTTTTTTTCCCTCTGGAGAAAAGGTTTTAAACCCAGCACATTCTGTGACGGGAGACCTTGTACGTTTACAAGGGGTTTAGGTTTTTCAAAGTAGGAAAACGGGGTTTAAAGGACAATTGACAGACTTTCCTTTATGTAATACCCCTTTAAAATTTGGACATCACCCATAGTAGACTATAAATATAACATCACTGTATGTCTCCTTCAAAATGGACCTCATCATAGTAGACTACTCACTACTCATATCACTGGATGTCCCATAAAAAGGGGACTCACCCTTATTAGACAAACTCACATAAAAGGTATGTCCCTTCAAAAGGGACCTATCATATTTGGGACTATTCATTTAGTCACATCAGGGGATGTCCCCAAAAAAAAGGGGACCTAATCATAGTAGATACCCCCCCTCAGGGATGTCCCTTAAAAATGGACCCCCTCTATTTAGATTTACCACATCACTGATTTCCTTCAAACGGGAAACCCCTCATAGTGACTAGTCACATCACTGTATTTTTCCCCTTCAAAAGGGACCTACATAGTAGATTTACTACATCACTGATGTCCCCTTAAAAAAGGGCCCCTCATCTTTTAAAATAGTCACATCATGTATGTCTCCTTAAAAAATAAAATTTCTCATAGTAGACTACTCACATAAACGTATGATTTTTTCAAAATGGCCCTCATCATAGAGACTAATCACTGTCACATCCCTGTATGTCTCCCCCGAAGGGCCCTTTCATCATATTTAAAACTACTAACATCACGTATTTTCCCCTTAAAAATGGCCCTTTAATCATAGTAGACTACTCACATCACTGTATGTCTCCTTCAAAATGGACCTCATCATAGGGGACTACTCCCCACCCATGTATGTCTCCTTAAAAAGGCCTCTTTCCATAGTAGACTATCAAAATCACTGTAGGGCCCCTTAAAAAAGGGGCCCCTAATATAGTGGGATACTCACACCCACTGTTTTGTCCCCTTTAAAAAAGGGAAACATCATCATAGTAGACTATTTCCATTACTTTTACATTTTAGTCATTTACCCGACGCTTTTATCCAGAGCGATTACAGTTAGGGAGTGCATCCCTTTTTTTTTTTCCTTTAACTAGGATATTGTTGAAAAAGGTAATTAGGGACAACAGTAGAACCGTTTTTTTTTTTCCCCCCTTGGGGGTTGGGGTTAAACCCAGCACATTTGTGACTGTAAATTTTGGACGATAAAAGGGGTTTGTGTTTTTTCCCCAGTAGGGCTAGGGGGTTTAAGCAAATTTGACAGACTTTCACATCACGTAATACCCCTTTTCAAAATGGCCCTTTTCATAGAGAATACTCACCCTGATGTCTCCTTAAAAGGGGGAACCTCTCATAGTAGACTACTCCCCACGTATGTCCCTTCAGAATGGACCCTCACAAGTAGACAAATCACTAGTCACAGAACTAACCAACACACACTAAAGATGCATTCTAAACAAGTGTGGCAATAGTTTGCCAAAATTTAACGCCAACCCTTATTTTGGCAGTTGAGGAGTAAAATTTACATTTTGAATGAAGAATTCAAATCAAAACCTTTAAATTTTTTTACTCATTTTACTTTATTTGTCCTTACTACAGGAATATGAGACGGCTATTTCAGATTTTTTAACTTTTATTTTCCATTATGTTCATTAATGTAACTATTATTTAACTATTTATTTATTCTGTTTTATATGTTGCCTGCAGAAGGTTTTTACTAATTTAACGGGTGGTATTAGGATTCCATTTTACTGTATGTTGGTGTCAGCTCGTTGTATCTTGTACTTTATACCATGTCTTCTTTTGAGGTGTTTTGACAAAAAAATTAGGTGTTTTGACAAAAAAATTAGGTGTTTTGGCAAAAAAAATAGGTGTTTTGACAAAAAAAAAATTAGGTGTTTTGGCAAAAAAAAAAGCTAGCTAGCTAAAACCCCAAAAAACAGTTTAAAGATGTATTAGGGGAGAAACCCAAGGGGTTTTATTGTTTAAATGTATTATGTTTTAAAAAAAAATTTTGGGGAAAATATAGGTTTAAAATGTTTTCAACAATCTAAGCCAACCCCTCTGTTTTGCCCCATAGTTGTGGACGCGTGGTTTTTTTTGCGGAAAAAACCAAACCCCCTTTTTCCCAAAAAACAAACTTACTTATCACCAAAAAAAAATATTGATTCTTAAATCAACCAACGAATCAACAAATCATCCAATCAATGATGGGGGCTGATCTATTTTGCATCAGTATAGAATTTCTCACAGAATGGATGACAACTATTGTCAGAATGTAATTTTTGTCAGGGAGGTAGTATAGTGGCTTGTTTTAAAAAATTTAAAATATTTTAGTTGTTTTTTGGGCACATTTAAAGGGGCTTTTAAGGGTTCACCCCCCTTTGGGATTTTTCCATTTTTTTGCCCTTTCAACCTTGGAAAATTAAAAAAAGAAATTTTTTTGGGGGGGGGGTTTTCATTTGATTTAACAAAATGCCTACCACTTTTTAAAATGCAAAATAGTTTTTGTGAAAAAAAGACAAGAAAAAAGACAAAAAAAAAAAGGGAAAATTGAGCGGCAAATTTTTCACCCCCCCCCCCCCCCCCCCCCCCAAAGTCAAACTTGGTTTGAGCCACCCTTTTTTAGCCCAAATTTCAGCTGCAAGTTTTCTTGGGGGGATGTTCTAAAAGCTTGGGGACATCTAGCCCCTGGGGAAATTTTGCCCATTCTTCAAGGGAAAAAAAGCCTCCAGCTCCCCTTTAAGTTGGATGGGTTCCCTGGGGTACAGCAATTTTTAAGTAACCAAAGATTCTCAATTGGATTGAGGTTGGGCTTTGGGTTGGGCCTTTCCCAAAACATTTAAAAGTTTCCCCCTTAAAACCCCTCGAGTGTTGCTTTTTTGCAGTATGTTTTGGGTCATGGGCCCGCTGGAAGGGGTGAACCCCATTTCCCCCCCCCCAAAAACTCTGGAAGAAAGAAACAGGTTTCCCTCAAGGGAATTTTCCCCGTATTTAGCGGAAATCCTCATTCCCTTTCCCCAATTCCCCCCAACCCCCCCTTTTTTCCAATTTCCCCCCAATTGAAAAAATCCCCCACCCCCATTGGTACCCCCCCCCACCCAATGAAATTGGGAGGGGTTTACCGGGGGGCCTTATTTTTAAAATTTCTTTTTCCCCTTACCTTTTTTTTGGCCAAAAAGCCTTAAAAACCCTCCAAAAAAGGAGTACCCTTCTTCCATTTTTTTGGTTTTGGGGGGGTTTCCCAAACCCAAATGGCCCCGGTGGCGAAAAACCAAAACCCGGTTTTCTTTATTTTTTTCCCTTTTGGGAAAAAAGGGGAATTTTTTCTTTGCTTTTTTTGGCCAAATTTCCGTTGCCCCCTCTGTGGGAAAGGGAAATTTTTTAAAATGGGTTTTCCCATGGGGCAGATACTCCAAACTCCCCCTTTTGGAGCTTTGCAGTCCTTCAGGGTTTTCTTTGGTCTTTTGTTGCTCTCTGATTAATGCCTCCTTGCCTGGGGACGTGAGTGTTGGTGGGCGGCCCTCTCTTAGCAGGTTTGTTGTGGTTGCCATATTCTTTCAATTTTTAAAAATGGATTTAATGGTGCTCTGTGAGATGTTCAAAGTTCAGATATTGTTTATAACCCAACCCTGATCTGAACCCAACTTTTTCCAGAAACCCGGTTTGGAGAGCCCTTGGTCTTCATGGTGCCGCTTGCTTGGTGGTTTTTTCCTTGCTTAGTGGTGTTGCAGACTCTGGAGCCTTTTAGAACAGATGTATATAT